GTGTGCCGGCGCTGCAGGCGGAGGAGTAGCCACGGCGCCGGCCAGGATCAATACTCTTTTTTTTTTTTTTTTTTTTTTTGACAGGCAGAGTGGACAGTGAGAGAGAGAGAGACAGAGAGAAAGGTCTTCCTTTGCCGTTGGTTCACCCTCCAATGGCCGCCGCGGCCGGCGCGCTGCAGCCGGTGCACCGCGCTGATCCGATGGCAGGAGCCAGGAGCCAGGTGCTTTTCCTGGTCTCCCATGGGGTGCAGGGCCCAAGCACCTGGGCCATCCTCCACTGCACTCCCTGGCCACAGCAGAGGGCTGGCCTGGAAGAGGGGCAACCGGGACAGAATCCGGCGCCCCAACCGGGACTAGAACCCGGTGTGCCGGCGCCGCTAGGCGGAGGATTAGCCTAGTGAGCCGCGGCGCCGGCCCTCAATACTCTTTTAAAAATATATTTATTTTATTTGGAAGGCAGAGTTACAGAGAGACAGAAGGAGAGAGGGAGAGAGAGAGATCTTCCATCTGTTGGTTCACTCCCCAAATGACTACAAAGACAGGAGCTGGGCCAAACCAAAAACAGGAACCAGGAGCTTCTTCCAGGTCTCCCACATGGGTGCAGGGGCCCAACTACTTGAGCCACCTTCCGCTGCTTTCCTAGGCACATTAGCAGGAAGTTGGATCAGAAGTGGAGCAGCCGGGCATTGAACCGATGCCCATATAGGATGTCGGCGTTGCAGGAGGCGGTTTAACTCACTATACTACAGCACTGGTCCCTGATCAATACTCTTGAAAGTATTGCAGCTCAATTCACAATAGCTAAGATATGAAATCAACCCAGATGTCCATCAACTGAAAACTGGATAAAGAAATTATGGGATATGTATATCATGCAATACTATAGTGGAAAAAAAATCCTGTCATTTGCAACAAAACAGGTACAACTGGAAACCATTATACTTAGTGAAATTATCCAGTCCCCAAAAGACAAATATATATTCTCCCTTATCTGTAGTAACTAATAGAGTACCTAAAAGGTACTCTATAGAAGTGATATTGACACTTTGAGATGCAATGATTTTGAACAGCCCTTGTCTTGACTGTTGAGGAATAGTTCTTTTTTTCCCCCATACTATTTGTTGAACTCTTTACTTAGTGTGGGATTACTCTTATGAGTATAAAGTTAATTGAAATTAGCTTTTTGAAAAAAAATAAGAATGAGAATAGGAGATGGAGGAGGAAGAAGGGTGGGAAGAATCAGTATGTTCCTAAATGTGTATATATGAGATGCATGAAGCTTGTATATCTTTAATAAAAGATCTCTAGGTAAAACAGAAAAAAAAAAAGTAGTTGTTTCCAAAACCAGTATTCTTCCTAGGCTAGCACCTGGATTCTATGTTTTCTCACTCAGTTTTACTGGGTTCCCCTCTTTCCAACAGTATGAAAGAGATGAGCCTCCAACCTTACAAATGAGATAACAGCACTCTGAGAGAAGTTGTTGATCCAAAGTTGCAAATGAACCATGAGAATAAATGAAGACATCAAATAGAGCTCTCTAACAAGCAACACTGTAACCACAGGCTGTCACATCACCACAGTTCTTAAAATCCTCTGGCACAAATTTGTCAAAATATTCACCCAAGGGGCCAGCGCTGTGGCGAAGAGGGTAAAGCCGTGCCTGTGATGCCAGCATCCCACATGGGTACTGGTTCAGGACCCAGATACCACACTTCCAATATAGCTCTCTGCTAATGTGCCTGGGAAAGCAGTGGAAAAACGGTTCAAGGGCTTGGGACCCTGCACCCACGTGGGAGATGGGGAAGAAGCTCTGGGCTTCTGCCTGGTCCAGCCGCAGCCATCACAGCCATTTGGAGAGTGAACCAGCAGATGGAAGATCTCTCTGTCTCTCTCTCTGTATGTAATGCTGCCTTTCAAATAAGTGAATAAATCTTTAAAAAAATATTCATCCAAAAATTTATCAAGAATCCACTACTTCCAGGCACTACAGTCAGAGCTGGGGATACAGGAATGCATTCAACAAGGTCTTTGCCTTCAAAGAGTTCACTGATCAGTGTAAGAGAATGCTATACTCTTGCAGACATATCAACATGTTGATATTGCCATGCTATACATTATAAAATAGAGGCATATGTAACAAAGAAATATTGTCTTTATAAGGAGAGGCCAAAACATATCTCTGAAAGAAGCTGAAGCTGACATATAAAAAGATGAATAGAAGGGGCTGGAGCTATGGAGCAGCGAGTTAAACCACTGCCTGCCGTGCCAGCATTCCATTTGGGCACTGGTTTGAGACCTGGCTGCTCCGCATCTGATCCAGCTCTCTGCTAATGTGCCTGTAGAAGAGGGCCTGAGCCCCTGGGCCCCTGCACCCACATGGGAGGCCTGGAAGAAGCTCCTGGCTCCTGGCTTCAGACTGGCCCTGCTCCACCCATCGTGGCCATTTGGGGAGTGAACTAGTGGGTGGAAGACCGATCTCTCTCTCTCTCTCTATCTCTCTCTCTCTGTCTCTCTCTTTCCCTCTGCCTCTCCTCTCCCTCTCTGTAACTCCGCCTTTCAAGTAAAAAAAATAAATCTTTTTTTAAAAATTACTAGAAGTTTACAAGACAGTTATGACCAGGGCACTGGGCATTCTGAGATTAAAAAAAGGGGGGGGGCATTTGGGGAAATAAGAAGTCATTCCATATGGCTAAAGCATAAAGGATAGAGAGGAAAATGTCAGAAAGTCAAGCTGCATAGGTAGGCAGACCCTGGATCAGGAAGGGGCCTCCCTGCTGCTCTAAGAATAAGCTTTGCATTGTTTAACGACAGCACCGAAGCACGGAACTCTTATGTCATCCTCAGCCTATGTTAATCTCCCTTATACCCAAATGTATACAGATAGAGAGATCTGTATCTGAGAGACAGATGCCTAGGACATTCCCATCACAATGGCCTCTCTTTTCCCATACAGACTTGAAATCTATTCTGCCTCAAGACTTACAGCACATACCTTCCTTCCTCTACAGTTATAATCGCTGCAGTATAGGAATTAACCCCAAGGACTATGGGGCCATTCTCAGTCAAATGTAGAGAGACAGACCTGATGGTTCTAAGCCAAGAATGCCTGGTTTATGCCTAGCCCTATGAAAAATGCTAATTTGGGGTTCCAAAGAGGTGTGAGATACTGATCTTGTCCACAAAGAGCTTAAATATTAGCCTAGAAGACATGACAGGAATATGGATATCTCCACATAATACAAGTTGAGCATCCCTAATTTGAAAATCTGAAATGCTCCAAAACCCAAAACTATTTGCGCACCAACCATGTTACCACAAGTGGAAAATTCCACACCTGACCTCATGTGATGAGTCACAGTCAAAACGCAGGTGCACTAAAAATACTGTATAAAATTACCTACAGGCCATGTGTATAAGATATATGTGAAACGTAAATGAGCTTCATGTTTACACTTGAATCCCATCCCCAACACATCTCATTGCAACTATCCCCAAATCTGAAAAAAACCCAAAGTCTGCAACACTTCTGCTCCCAGGCTTTTTGGATAAAGGATACTCAATGTGTACTATAATAGCATGATTTACTTTCAAAACACAGTACCAACTTGGGTAACATGTATAATTAGAAAATGGGGCAATAATACTAAGGTGCCAACTATACAACCAACAAGTCCCAAAAGAGTTAGGGAAGCAGAAGAGCAATGTTGACTGTTATTATCAAAGGTCACTATTATTAATACTCCCCCTGTCTGGCATTTAATAGATGTTTCTTTTGGCCAAGTTCAGTCCTTAGAAGGGAAATCTAGGCAGGAGCTTCTGACAGGCCACAATTATCTACTCCCCATTCATTCCTTTGCCAGTCCCCTTGTATAAACACTGTGATTTTCCAGAGCCTACTGTGCCCACAAGACAGTCCCCAAATGGTAGCCCTGAGCTTTTTACCTTCCTCTACTGCTGGAAGGGGCTTGGACAACTAATAACCACTACCCTTCACTCCACATCTAAACCTTGCGACCAGCTTTCAGCAACCAACAAGTTAACAACTTGTCAACCAATCTTTCCAAGGTTAGAGAATTCCAAGTGAGGTTCCTGGGTACTTTCACAGAGATGTGTTTTGTAAATGTTATTCATGGAGTGGCACTGTGGTACAGTGGGCTGTCACCAGAGATGCTGGCATCCCTTATGATTGTTCAAATCCTGGCTACTCCAATTCTAATCCTGCTCCCTGCTGTGCCTGGGAAAGCAGAGGAATACAACCCAAATACTTGGGCCCCTGCCACCCAGTTCCAGGCTCCTGGATTCAGCCTGGCCCAGGCCCAGAAGTTGTGGCCATTTGGGGAGTGAACCAGCGGATGGAAGAATGATTCTCTCTCTCTCTCTCTCTCTCTCTCTATCTCCCTGCCCCCCTCCCTCCCTCCCTCCCTCGTTTCTTCTCCTTCTCTCTCTGTAACTCTGCCTTTCAAATATATAAATCTTTAATATTTATTTATTTGAGAGGTAGAGACAGAGACAGAGAGATCTTCCATCTGCTGGTTCACTCTCCAAATGGCTGCAACAGCCAGGGCTGGGCCAATCAGAAGGCAGGAGCCAGGAGCTTCTTCTGGGTCTCCCATGTGGGTGCAGGGGCCCAAGGACTTGGGCCATTTTCCCCCTGCTTTCCCAGGCCATCTGCATGGAGCTGGATCACAAGTGGAGCAGCCGGGATTAGAACCAGCACCCATATGGGATGTCAGCACTATAGGTGGAGGCTTAGCCTACTACACCAGCCCCTCAAATCAATAAATCTTAAAGAAAAAAATCTAATCAGCCTGCTTTCATCCCCCCTTCTTCCCTGCATTTCCCTCTGAATCTCAAGCTTTATCAGACTTTCCACAAACAATTTTTTCGAAGAAAGGACTTTCCAACCATACAAGCTGCCCAAAATGCAAGTTGTCACTCAGGCACCTGGAAACGGGAAGTAAAGCAAAGTTGCACAAGTAAGAAGGAAATAATTACCCTACCTCTACCATAAATTGTTCTAAGAAGGAGTTTTCTTCAAATGGCTCTGTCTTCAGTCGACCTGTATCAGAAGGGATACAGAAAAGAAATTTGAGTCTTAGGACAAGTTTCCTATCTGTGAGATGGAAAGAAAACAGAGCACAAGACTCCTTAGGAAAAAACGAGAAAGATGCAGCATCCAGAGACATCCATCCCGAGGGAAAAGAAGGGTTGAGAGCATGTGAGCCAATAGGCGGAGAGGGGGTGATTAACAGCAAAGGGCAGGTTCAGCGGCAACATCTGCTCTAGGGGCTTTCCTGCCACGAAAACAAAGCTGAAACGGAATTTTTATTCTGAAGTGGGAGCCACGCAGCTTCCTAAACTCCCAAGTTCATGTTGCCCTAGTACAGTTTTGCATAGCTGTTGGCTTCCTTCCAAAGTCTTTCCTTGCCATTGCCTAGGACATGTCTGGACTTGGTTGTATTCATAGCTTCTATTAGCCACTTGAGTCCCAGTCAGGGACTCGAGGCAGAGGGATGTGTCACCTGGTATCAAGTCTCTAGTACCTGGTCAGTACCCAGCAGCACTAGGGAAAGCACTTCTCCAATGCAAATGGTTCTCCCCCTTTTCTATGACCTTAGCCTACCTGTACCATTCTCCACCTAACTCCTCCGAGAATGTCCTCTTACCTCGGCTCAGTGTGGCCCCACTCTCCCGGTACTCCTGGATCTCGAGATCTTTCATCCGAAGCAATGTTGCTAGCTCCCTCACTTGGTTCTGCAATGCCAGACTCATACCCATTAGAGGACGAATCAAATGTTGGGAGACCTTTAATGGAGAAGAGAGATCATCAATTAGTCAACAGATGTTTAACAAAGTGCTCCCTAAAACTGTATCAGGTGTAGGGGTATTCAGTACTGTACAACTGTATTCAGCACAGTGGGGTAAACTGCTGCCTGCAGCACCAGCATCCCATATAGACAACCGTCCCAGGGCTGGCTGCTCCACTTCCAATCCAGCTCCCTGCTGATGCACATGGGAAGAGCAACAGGAAGATGGCCCAAATTCCTGGGCCCCTGCACCCATGTGGGAGACCTGGATGAAGCTCCTGGCTCCTGGCTTTGGCCTGGCCCAGCCCAGCCATTGTGGCCATTTGGGGAGTGAACCAGCAGATAAAAGATTTCTTTCTGTCTCTTCCTCTCTTTCTCTCTATAACTCTGCCTTTCAAATAAAATAAATAAATCTTTTAAAAAAAGTATTAGATGCTAGAAAAATACTGAAAAATAAGTGTTTTTGTAGGCATTTACAGTTTCATAGGCAAGCCATCCATTTACATGAATATAAGCACATATGTATTAAATAAATACGTTAAAGAGGTTCACAGATTTTCTACACCAAGACAGGAAAAAATAAAGGAGAACACATTACATTGCTAATCTAAAGTTGCAGGTTAAGTTGCCACTTGGGACACTTAGAGATACAAGTGCCTATTTAAGTTCCAGCTCCTCTGCTTCCAATCCAGCTTCCTATTAATGCATCCTGGGAGGCAGCAGACAATGGGCCAAGTGCTTGGGCCTCTGCCACCTGCATGAGAGACCTGGATGCAGTTCTGGGCTCCTGACTTCAGCCTGACCTGGCTCTGGTTGTTGCCAACATCGGAGGAGTAAACCAGCAGATGGAAGATCTTTCTTGTTCTATCTCACGCTCTCTCTTTCTCTCTCTGCCTCTGTGTGTGTGTGTCACTCTGCCTTTCAAATACATGAAAAATAAATAAATAAACACTTAAAAAAGAGTAGGATATGATAAAGTTGTTAAGAGGAAAGTGTTGGTCAATTCTCAACAGAGCCTGAGAGACAAAAGCAGAAATCCAAGCAACTCTCAAGAAAGTAAGTGTGGAAAAAAATGTGAGAGATGGAGCCGGTGTTATAGCACAGCAACTTAGGCTGCCACCTACAGCAGTTCCAGATCTGGCTGCTCCACCTCCAATCCAGCTCCTTCCTAATGTGCCTGGGAAAGTAGCAGAAGATGGGCTCTTCCACTCCTGACACCCATGGGGGAGACCTGAATGGAGTTTGGGGCTCCTGGTTTTGGACTAGCCCTGGTCGCTGTGGCCATGTGGGGAGTGAACCAGCAAATGAAAGATCTCTTTCTTTATGTCTCTCTCTTTCTGTATAACTTTTCCTTTGAGTTAAATAAATCTTAAAAAAAAAAAAAAAAGTGAAAGTGAAAGTGGACATGGCTAAAACAGAGCATGGTAGTTGGAGAATATGAGCAAACACAAATTAACAGAGAAACAGAGAGCTTTGAAGGTCAGATTAGATCAAGAAACAAATTAAGAGCCATATCAGGGCTGATGATAGCCCAAGATGAACCCAGAGTTTTCATCTGCTCCCACAAAACAGCAGACTCTAAAGCTACTGTAACAGAAGCAAGCCAGTCATCAAGAGCTTAGCCTAGGGGCTGAAGCTATGGTGCAGCGGGTTAAGCCTTGGCCTACAGTGCTGGCGTCTTATATGGGCGCTGGTTTATGTCTGGCTGCTCCACCTCAGATCCAGCTCTCTGCAAGGTGCCTGGGAAAGCAGTGGAGGATGGCCCAAGTGCTTGGGCCCCTGTGTCCACATGGGAAACCTGGATAAAGCTCCTGGCTCCTGGCTACGGCCTGGCCCGGCCCTGAACATTGTGGCCATTTGGGGAGTAAACCAGCAGATGGAGGACTTCTGTCCCTGCCTCTTCCCCTCTCTCTGTAACTCCACCTTTCAAATAAATAAATATTTAAGAGAGAGCAAGAGGCCGGCGCCGCGGCTCAATAGGCTAATCCTCCACCTGTGGCGCCAGCACACCGGGTTCTAGTCCCAGTCTGAGTGCTAGATTCTGTTCCGGTTGCTCCTCTTCCAGTCCAACTCTCTGCTGTGGCCTGGAAATGCAGTGGAGGATGGCCCAAGTCCTTGGGCCCTGCACCCCATGGGAGACCAGGAGAAGCACCTGGCTCCTGGCTTCGGATCAGCGCGGTGCGCCGGCCACAGCGGCCATTGGAGGGTGAACCAACGGTAAAAGGAAGACCTTTCTCCCTGTCTCTCTCTCTCACTGTCCACTCTGTCTGTCAAAAAAAAAAAAAAAGAGAGAGAGAGAGAGAGACACTAGCCCTCTAGTCTCTCTAGAAGGAATAAATCAAGTCCCCTCCACACTTCTTTCTTTTCTTTTTTTTCTTTTAAGATTTGTTTATTTGAAAGGCACAGTAACAGAGAGAGAGACAGATCTTCCATCTACTGATTCACTTCCTAAATGGCCATATCAGACAGATCTGGGTCAGGCCAAAGCCAGGAGCCCAGAACTCCATCGAGATCTCCCACGTGGTTGGCAGGGACTTAAGTACTTAGCCATCATCTGGTGCCTTCCAGGGTATGCAGTAGCAGAAACCTGGAACTGGAAGTGGAGCCGGCACTCAAATCCAGGCACTCCAATATGGGATGCGGGTGTCCTAAGCAGTGCTTTAATCTCGGTGCCAAATGCCTGGCCCCAAATCTTGCTTTTAACAAGAGGCAATAAGGACACAAGCACAGCCACACGGCAGTACGGCCTGGGTGATGCTCTCATATGATAATGTAGAGCTATGTAGAACAATCTTCAGTTCACCTACACAGGGTGTCCACTGGTCTGTCAAGGAAAATAATGAAAATCAATAATCTATTTGTGGCCGGGGAATGTCATCAGAATTCCTTTCACTTCTCTCAAGGTGAACTAAAGGAAGCACCAAGAAGAAATGGCCTAGATCAGAGGTCAGCAAACGTTTTCGGGAAAGGGCCGGATGGTCAATATTTTCAGCTTTGTGGCCATGAAGTCCCTGTTGCAACTATTCAGCTTTGCTGTTGTAGCACGAAAGCAGCCTCAGACAACATGTAAATAAATGAGGTGGCTGTGTTCCAACTGAACTTTACAAAAGCGGCCAGCCAGCCAGATTTGGCCCACTGTGCCCCATGCCAACCCCTGCCCTAGACCTACAAAGGAACACTTTCAGACAAGATACCCACATGCTGGCTTGAAGGGAGGAACAGGTTCTGGGGGGTCCTGGAAGACATAAAGCCAGACCCAAGTCAATCAAGATCAGAAGTCTGCACTCTTCAGACTTTTGTGTTTTCATGTTCCATGAATTTTCCAGGTAAATTTACCACTAACAAAAAGTTCAACCGTGTTACAGCTGGAATTAAGAGGAAAACACTTTTTTCCCACATTTTAAGGGCAGATTAGAAAAGATGGGATCTGGGGAAGACTTAGGGGGTCAGTGGCAGCAGCTTCTGTACTAGCCCCGGGCCCAGGAAATGCAGGGCACTGGCACACAGCAGAAGGCTGGACACTGCGTGGGTCTACAGATGCAGTCACTTCTTCCCATCAAATAGCACATCCCCACCTGGCACTGTCTCCTGGCTCAGGCCTTAGGATAAACCTAAGCCTCCAGGAAGTACTGGTCCAAACATGCACTTCTCTAGATCCAGCCCTAATTTGGTCTTATTCAAGGTGCCTTCCTTTGTAACTATTGAGGTCCCAACAAATTCTACTCCTGGACCCACCAATGAGACAACTTTTCCATTACTTACTAATCTCCCTCACCCAAAAAACCTACACCAGTGCATCAGTCTAACCTTGTCATTATCTCCTGACCCACTATCCCCCAACCCTTTTTTCAACTCCACTCTCTGTAATTCCATGACCCCTATAAAGCCGGGAGATTGCTTAATTGGAGGTCACTTCCTCCTGTGTGGGAGCTCCCTATTCCACTCTCTACCGCCTAATGCAACTGATATCTGTATTCCTGTAATTGTCCTCCCAGAGGGCTCTGTGGTGCCCCAAAACCAGTCTCTCCCGATACCGGTGCTGCAAAACGCCCATGCTAAAAGGGACATAATTATCCTTCCCTTTCTAGCGGCACTAGGTGTTCTTACAGGAGTGGGGACAGGAGTAGCTAGCCTGGCATATGGTACTACCCAGATACAGCAAATGGCAAACACCTTAAATACGGAGCTACAAAATGTTGCAGCCTCCTTTATAAACCTGCAAGACCAGATTGACTCCCTGGCTGATGTGGCCCTTCAAAACAGAAGGGCACTAGACCTCTTACTAGCAGAAAAAGGGGGAACATGCGTATTTCTGGGGGAACAGTGCTGCTTTTTTACTAACAAATCTGGAGTAGTCAGAAACATGGCACAACAACTTAAGGAACGCATTGCCAAACAGCAACAGGAGTACCAGGGACAACAAGGATGGGATCTATTTTCCTCTTTTCTCCCTTGTTTCTCCCTTGGGTACTGCCAACCCTGGGACCCATAATAACTGTAAGGATAATTGTAATGATCGCTCCTTGTGCTCTCAGGCTCATAAAAGATCGAATCCAGGAAGCCTCCAGAGTAGCAGTCAACCAGATGCTTCTCCATACATACATGCCTGTCCCTGCGGAGCCCCAAGATACCCCAGTGGGCCCCTGTAAACGACATCCCCAATCAGCAGGAAGTAGCCAGAGAGATTCATCATCGCTCCCTTTCCTATCATCAAAAGGTCAGGATGATAGCTTTGGGATCTGCAAGGAGGGAAGGCCTATACTTCCAGGAATGGAGAGTCCCTACCTGTACTTCCGGGCAAGAAAAGTCCTTGTCAAGGTCCCTGAGGGTGCCTAAAGGTCAGCCAATGAGGATCAGACCCGCCTCAACCTTTATCCCCCATGACCTGAATCTATAAAAGGAGCACGCCCAATCTTTGACACTTGACTTCCCCAGCCCCCCACCCCCACCCCACCCCCCCACCCCCGCTCTGCTGCTCTGTTGGGACTGGTGAACCTC